GGCGGAGGAAAGAGAAGGCGGAAAAGGAGGAGGAGGAGGACGAGGAGGAGGAGAACAAGCCACAACCCCGCAAACAGAAACTGTTGGCGCTCCGCGCGGCTTGCTTGGATCCGCACGGAGCGCCAAATAGTTTATGTGTTGTGTCGCTCTTTCTCCCATGAGAGAAGCTAAGGGTCACCTTGGGCCAGAACCACTCCTGGCACTCAGGGCGGCATGGCGGTGCCCCATGGCTCCCGACGCACATCTCGGCTCTCCGGCGGCCGCTTGGGAAGATCCAGGCATCCCCGGAACGCCCTCGACCGGTCGCAGCTGCTGGAGAGCATCCCGAGACTGGGAAACCGCCGAAGACCAATGAAGACGACTGAAAAGCTCGAGCCTCGAAGCTTCGCCCCAGCCTCGGAAGGGCGGCGGGCCGCTCCAGCTCGCACTCGAGGTCCTCCAGGCGGCTCGCGCGCGCCGACCCGCAGTCCGCCGGCGCGCCTCCTCCAGGGGAAGGGGCGCTTCGAGGCGGCGGGGCCGATGTCGGCGCGCCACCGGCGGCGCTCGGGAGGCACCCTCGCTCCGAGCTGGCCGAAGAGGTCGACACCCTCCCTCCCTCCCTCGCCCTGTTTGTTTCTGCTTCCTCTCAAAAACACAAGCAATGCCCCCCAAAAAAACTTGTCTTGAGTAACGTTGCCGCGGCGTGACCCCAGGGACAAAAACCGCACGTAAGTAACAGCTCTTCTGCGCGTCAGCACGCAACGAAGATGTCACGAAATTCGGCCCGCAAGTGTTAGCGAAAGCGGACGAGGAGGACAAGGATGAGGAGGAGGACGACGACGAGGAGGAAGAGAGGGGTCAAGGGCGCTATGCGGACAACCCCTGTGACCCAACTGGCCGCAATCCCGAGGCGCCTCCATCCCTCGCCCTGTGCTACGGGAGAAGAAAGAGGAGGAGGAGGCGGACGGAGGAGGAGGAGAAAGAGGAAGACGGAGGAGGAGGAGGAGGAGGAGGAGGAGGAGGAGGAGGAGGAGGAGGAGGAGGAGGAGGAGGAGGGAGGAGGACGGAGGAGGCCCCCGCACTCCCTCCCTCGTCCCTGCGCTTCGAGGGAGGACCCAGGACTCGAGACTCAAGGCGCGCGGCGAGGGCCGCACGCGGGGGCAGGCCCCAGAAGCGAGAGCACGACGACGACGGCGACGGCGACGGCGACGGCGACGGCGACGGCGACGACGACGACGACGACGACGACGACGACGACGACGGCGACGACGGCGGCGACGACGACGACGACGGCGACGACGACGGCGACGACGACACGCGGGTGGCAGCCCGCCGAGGCGGCGGGCCGCTCCGGCCACCGCGCGGGCAGCGCGGCGCGGCTGCCCGGCCTCGCCGGCGGCGCCGCGCCAGGCCGCCCAGCTCCTGCTGGCGAGGCGGCGTGCGCGGCCACGGGCGGCGGCCCAGGCGGCGGCGTCGCGGCGCCCCCTGGGTCGCGCCGCCGAGAGGCGTGGCCGCCCGCAGGCACGGGCACCGTGGCCGCCCGCGTGGAGCCCCGCCGCGTCTGCGACGGCGTCCAGCTGCGCGGCCAGGCGGCGGCCTTCATCCCCGACGGCGGAAGCCGGCAGCAGGATGAGAATCGTGCGACGGCGAACGGCGATGAGGTGAAGCTCTGTGCTCAGGCGCCCAGGGGCAAAGGCTTGGCGCGCCTGCCCCGACTTCAGCTGTGGAGCCTCCTGCGCCAGACAAGCAGAACAAACACGGTGTTACCAAAGTCTACGCTCCGACATTCGATTACGGGCACGCCTGCGCCGATGCTGATAACAAGGGCTGCGACTCGAGCTACCACGAGGGCTATAACAACAGCTACCACGAGGTCTTCCTGCAGCTACTAGTTGGGCTCCCCTTGCCTTCAACCCAGTGGACCAGCAAAGTAAAGCTCACCAGTGGGAGGAGGATTACAAAGAAAAAGGAAACCACCAAGATGTGAAGTACGACACGGAGCACGTCGAGAGGAGTACCTTGGCACTTGGCCAGGTTCTTCCTCCCTCCTCTGCGTGGCTTCCACTCGAACTCCGCGGCGCCTCCGTTTGTCATGCGGCTGAAGCCCGAGGCAAACGTCCAGATGGCGCTGGAGGTGCCCCTTCTGGCCTCCTCTGTGCTCTCCTCCTGGCTGCTCCAGCTGCTTCCCCCACTTTTCCTCCTCCTCCTATTCTCCTCCCCCTTCCTCCTCATCTCCCTCCTCTCCCCCTCCTCCTCCCTCCTCCCCCCCCCCCCCCTCCTCCTCCCTCCTTCTCTCTCCTCCTCCTCTCCTCTTCCTCCTCCTCCTCCTCCTCCTCCTCCTCCTCCTCTCCTCCTCCTCCTCCTCCTCCTCCTCCACTCCTTCTCCTCGTCCCCGGCCCCTCCGCCCGCGAGGAGGAAGAGGGATAAGCACGACGAGGAGGAGGACGAGGACGAGGAGGAGGAGCACGCGGACGACGAGGCGGAGGAGGAGGAGGAGGAGGAGGAGGAGGAGGAGGAGGAGGAGGAGGACGAGGAGCAGGACGAGGGCGAGGGCCGCGCCACCCGCGAAGCGCACGCGGGCGGCCCCCTCCTGGGCTGCGTGGGTCGCTCGGCGACGAGTTCTGCCTGCTCAGCGACACCTCGCACGGTTCCCGCCTGGCGGCGCGTGGGGCGGCCGCCTCCGCCGCCGCTCGGTGGCGCGCCCAGGGGGCAGGCCGGCGAGAGCGACGGTTGCCGTGCTGGGAAAGAGGGGGGTGGGGGGGGGAAGCTCCAGGGCACGACGTTGCCATGGGCAGACGTGGCGGTTGTCTCGCTCGCTGCTTGGCAGATCGGCGCGGGCCCTGGCCCCTCCCCCTTCCCCCTCCGCCCCCCCCTTGGCTAAACCTTGGCCGTTTTCGGCGCCTGTTTCGAGCAGGTGGAGTCTCCCCCAGGAGACGCACGGTCCCAAACAGTCGCGCTAAGCATAGCCCCCCCCCCCCCTGGCGCAGATCTTGGCCGTTTTCGGCGCCTGTTTCGAGCAGGTGGGGTCTCTCCCAGAAGACGCACGGTCCCAAACAGTCGCGCTAAGCAGAGGTCCGGAGCCAGACCCCCCCCCTCCCCACCCCCCTTCCGCGCAATGTCGAAACGCCGAATAAAGGAACGCTCGCCATTCAACATGCGTGGTAGGACTGATGATGTGATCAGTTCTCCCAGCCCATCCTCCCAGCCTGGTAATTTTGCCTTCCTGAGTAAAGTAGGACAACCCCGAGGGGAAGTGACTCGCAAGTCTGGCTCTGGATGGGAGGTGGCACACATCGGAGGGGACCTTGTGCCACCCTTTGCGGGGGATGCGGGGTTCGCCCAGGAAGGCGGCAGGACGCCACCCCCAAACATAGGCCTCCTCCGCTCGGGTCCCGCGGAGACGCACCCGCTCCTGCAGCTCAGCCGGGCGCTGATCGTACGCATACCTGGAGGAGACCGTTCGATCTCGAACCCGCTGCCTCGGGCCCTCGCCGTCTGGAGAGCAGGGCGCGCTCCCACAGCACATACTTCGCTCGGGACATTCGCGCAAAAAGGCGTCCATGGGAACGCGGGCGACGACTCCGGACCCGAGGGCATGGACGCGGATCTGCTTCTCGTCCACGAGGTCAGTCGCGACAGGCCAAGAAGGCGCCAAGCCGACGGTCCGACGAGAGCGAGAGGTGGATCGGGGGCATCCCCTCTCTTAGGCCTCGCCCCGCCACATCCACACCCTCCCTGGCCACGCCCACGCCGCGGCCGGGGAAGGGACGGGCGGGTGAGCGGGAAGAGGCCGCTACTCTTCGCGGAGGACGAGGGGGGAGGGGGAAGAGGGAGGGACGACGGGAAGGGGGAGGGGAACAATGACATCAAACTCGCTGGCCGACTCCGAAAATCTTGAACCCAAAAACGTTTCATCTCTTGGGGGCGCATGCTTTACTTCAGCCGCCTTCCGCCGAGCTTCCGCCGGCTTCGACCGGCTGAGGCGGCCTCGTTTTACTTCCGCCGACCTTCCGCCGCCCTTACGCCGCCTTCCGCCGAGGAAGAATTTACTACACTGCATCCTGAAGAGCGTCCCCAAGCCAAACCTACGGGATGTAGAGCTGGGACAAAAGGAGACAGGAAGGTGCCCTTGAAGTCGTCCTGGCACCGCCTGGATACCCGAAAGCAGGCCCCGGGGGCAGCGAGGGGGGGGGACGTGGCGATCCCCGAGCGGAGATCTGCACTTCACGCGGGTCGTGACTCCCTCGCTGGCCTTTTCGGCCCAGCGCTGTCTGGAAAGGGGGGGGGGGGGGGGGGGGGCGAAGTGCCACGCAAGCAGGCTTGCCAGGATCTGCATACAAATCTCACCAGTCCTCTCCTTTTCCAACCACCTTCCTGTCCCTGCCCGGGAGGTTTACCTCCCCCCCCCCTCCCTGCGTCTGGACGGGCTCACCCGCGAGGTGTCAGAGGGCCCTTGTCGGCCCAAGATGGCTCCAAGAGGGCTTCAGAGAGTGCGAGATGGCCTCCAAGATGGCCCAAGATAGCGGTAGATGGCTCAAGATATCCTCCGACACGCATCCAAGAAGCCTCAAGACGGCCCCAAGACGGTTTCAAGTGCCCTCCGAGCCCTCCGAGGACCCCCCCAAGATGCCAAAATCTTTGAAACATTCAAGGGAAATCCATGTTCTTTGCCTTCTCGCTTTTTCGCCTCCGATGGGCTCTTGAGGCCCCAAGACGGCCCCAAGACGGCCAAAGACGGCCCGAGCTAGTCCCAAGAGGGGCCCACGAGGGCCCCAAGACGGCCCCAAGAGCGCCCAAGAGCGCTCCAAGAGCGGCCCAAAGAGGCCCCAAGCCAGCATTTTTGAGCCTCCGAGGGGGCGATGGGAATTAGAACCCTCCATCTGTTTTAACGAAAGGGTCCAAGACGGCCCCAAGAGGCCCCACCATCCCAAAAGAGCCCCCAGAAGGCCCCCAGACCCTCCAAAAGAGCCCCAAGAGGACCCCAAGACGCCCCACAAGAGCCCCAAGAGGGCTCCAAGAAGGCCCTACGAGGACCTCAAGAGAGCCCCAAGAAAGAGCTCCAGGAGGGTCACAAGAGAACCCCTAAGAGAGCCCCAAGATGGCTCCAAGTTTCGAAACGCACGCGAGCTTAAGATACAAATCAGTGCAACAGTCATTACGAGTCAGCGAAACACCCCTCACCCCTCATCGAAGCACCATCGTAGCTTGCACTGAGTTCCATCTTAAACTTCAATGCGGGAAGCTCTGTGTGATCCTGGTTTTTCCGAAGACGGCTGCGCAATTGCATGCGCCCTGCCGTCCCTGATTCACCGACTCCCCTGCTGATCGTTTCTGGATGGGCTGGTGGGGATTTTCTGGTCGCGGCCGCGAGCGAAGAGCGCAGGCGGCGACAGAAGCTGTCCGGGGCGCGGAAACATACCTAATTAGCTGCAGGGCGCGGAACGGGCCGGCCGGGCGGGCTGGTGGGGGTACGCGAAGCGTCAAGATTCGCTCTGGGTCTGAGATCAGCTATATCAGGACCCCTAACCCTTTGGGAGGGGACCGAAGCTAGGAGTGCCAAAAAAAAAAGACCAGGGATAGGGGATCGTCCCTGCAGGTGCATCGAGCCAAACCGCCCAGATGCATTATCCCTGCTGCAACGCCGGGGGCCTAAGTGAGGCCACGCCTCCATTGTGTCGTTCGGGTTGGGGGTTCTTTCATCCCGAAGGGGAGGGGGCCAAGCACACCACAGGCCGAGACGGGGCCCCCCGCGGGGGCAGGCGGAGCGACGAGGCGGGCGGCGAGGCGCTCCCGCGGACGGGGCCCCTGGCAGCCCCTCCCGTAGGACGCGACTGCTGGGAGGCCTTCGTAATACCGCCTAGAGCGCATTGTTGGACTCGCGGCCATGGCGGGCGTTATGGGGGGGGAGGGGGGGGGGACGGGAGGGGGGCATAACGTAGCGCCCCCCTCCCCCCTTAGACTGTGGTGCCGGACCCACTGCGGCAGTGCTGGGGACGCACTGACGGGGGGGAGCGCTACGTTATGGGGGGCGGAAAAGGGGGGGAGGGTAGGGGGCATAACGCGCGGTATGGCCCAGAAGGTAGAAAGCCACTTCCCTGGGAGGTCTTCGTAATACTGATACTGGTTAAGGGGTGGTAAGCCCAATTGGGAGGCCCGTGCGCCAGATCAGGCCAGATTATCTCTGGGATTCAGCCAGAGCACACGGGATGAAGCAAAATGAAGCAGGATAGTGCCAAATTCCAGGCTGGTATTTGCAACCACGGATATACCAGCGGCGATACGGAATTGAACCTCCCAGGTATTGCATCTCAAACTCCTCCTCCCCTCCAGCTCGAGGTCCGGTGCGGAGTGATACCAGCGTGCTGTGACCGTTGACCGTTTGAGCTATCGGTCAGCGTGTCGCGGATAGCGTGCCCGCGCCCACCCGTATAGGTCAACGCAACAGTCTCCGACCTGACCGTGTTGAGAGGGCTCTGCTGGGCCTCCAGGAGGGAGCGAGGCAGTGAGGCACCGAAGTGCTAAGCTGCTCAAGTATGGTTGGAGCGTCACGGGCCTCCGGGGGACTCTGCAGGGCCCTTTGAAGTGTCCGGGGGCTTCGGGGGTCAAAATCCTGGATAGGAGCTGAATTTCCTTTTCCTCGAGGGGGGGAGCAATGCAAAGAGGTGCCGACAGCAACGCCCCTCCGTAGTGAAAGGCATCCCTTCGCCCGGTGGCAGCGAGGGAGACACTGAAATCGGTCGTCCTGCTCGCAATGTTTCCCTCCTTTTGCCCCCCCGCCTGCTCCCACCCTCTCCTCTTGTTTTCCCTCCTCCCGTATTCTTCGTGCCCCCCCTCCTCCCTCCCGCCTCCTCCCTTCTTTCCTCCTCGTCGTCTTTCCTTCTTCCCTTCTCCCAGCTATGATATGGACGCCAATTCGAGGAGGAGGAGGAGGAGGAAGAGGAGGAGGAGGTGAAGGTGAAGGAGGAAGAGGAGGGAGAGGAGAGAAAAGAGGAGGAGTATGAGGAGAAGGAGGAGGAGGAGGAGGAAAGAGGAGGAGGAGGAGGAGGAGGAGGAGGAGGAGGAGGAGGAGGAGGAGGAGGAGGAGGGGGAGGTGGTGGATGGGGCGAGGAGGATGTTGAGGGGCGATGGGCGCGTCCAGGGCTTCAGTTTCAAAGCCTGACAGAACAGTCCGCAGTCCTGAGGAAGGAATGGAAAAGCACGAAAGGAAGGATGGAAAAGGGGGAGAACGGGGAGGTCATTTTACTGCACCTCCTCCTTTCTTGTCCTCCTCCTCCTCCGTCCTCCTTTTCCTGTCCCCCTCCCCTCCTTCCCACACGAGTTCCCGCGTGCGCGGGGGAGGCAGCGAGGGGGGGGTAGGGACCTGCATGAAAAGGAGGACCAGACTCCGGATGGCGCTGCGGGAAGCCAGGCCACACGTCCAGGGAACTGGCAAACGACTCGATGCATGGCACACGAAGGGCAGCGCACGAGCAGCAGGAACCGAGCGGCCTGGGCACGAAGCAGCTGCCCAGCTTGCGGAACCTGGCGCGCGCCCGCCCGCCGGCTGCTGCCGTCCTTTCGCCGCCCCAGCGGCCCCCAGCCCCCATCCCCCATCTCACACAACAAGCTGGCGCCGCCTGCGCTAGAATAATACATTCGTTATCCGGGGCCGTTCCCAACCCATCCCCCGTCTGCAACGAGCTGCGCTGCCAATGGACCCACCCAAGACAAGCCATGATGCGAAAACGGTCAGCGGTCCTGTGCGAAGGCTATATGGAAATCCGTCGACTTGGACGAAACATGGGGCCGATGAGAAACAACGCCAGCACATGGGAGTGGAGGGAGATAGACAACTGCTATGGCTGATGAAGAAGGGGATGCGTTGGCACAAGAACGGAGGGGCAAACGTGATGGGCGACGACGGGCGCAAGGAGGAACCGTGGGACGGTATAAAAAACGAGGGAGCGGACGCGATGGGAGTGTAAACGGGGACCCGTCACATGAAGCACGGGGGGAATCATTTGGTTGGCCGCACCAGTTAGGCGGGGTACGCTCCACATGTGGGCGTGAAGTTCTAACCGGAACTATGCCGGTTCACCTTTGGCGGTTTCACCGAGTTGAAACTGTCGGTCGACCAGATCGCGCAGCGGAATCTACACCCCGACGGCATTCACCAGCACGGGCCTGAAAACAAATCGAATCGCCCGCGCAATGATGAACACCAACACAACGAAAACATCGGGCCGCACCAAATCGTCGAACTTTCGGGATCGAATCCGACCGGGGCGGCTGGAATCGATATCGAAACGGACCGATCGGATAGAAATGGGCCTTGTACTCAAGAGGCCAGCGGGGCCGAGCCAGCCCGCCAATCCCTCGGCCTCCCTCGCGTTTGTTCATCGCAGTCGCCGGTTGCTCGCAGGCGCACCGCCAGGTCAGCGGGCGGCTCGCGAGAGAGAAAGAGAGAGAGAGAGAGAGAGAAAAAAAAAAAAAAGAGAGGCAGAAGCTCCATCCCTGTTTCTCAAATCATCGGGATACTGTGTAACGCCATGGCCTTGGAAAACATGACGTGCTGGTCAGCCAGAGCCCGTCCGTGCCGTCGGCGTCTTTGACGACGGCGTCGACGAGGACCCTGGCTCGCAAGGCCTGGCCCTGACATGCCAGCGCGGGTGACCAGCGGGGGTCTGTGGAGGTCGATCGGGCTGGACGTACGCGGCTCGATGAAGGCCAGGCGCGCCGCGCTCGAGGCGGTTCCGTCCTCGTGTTCCGCGAGCTTGTCCTTGAACGGGGCGGCCTTGTATCTGTCCATGCGGACCCACGCGCCTCCGGCCTTGCCTCACCGCGAGCGTTGCTGACCTGGCGCGGGACCTCTCCCTCGGCGTCCTTCGCAGAAGCTCTTCCCGAGGCTCAGGCGCCCCAGCAGGCGAGCCCGCTGAAGCGGGCGCAGGGACAGACCTCAGTGGGCACCCCCACCCCTGCCGGACCCACAGCGCGGGCACTGGCCGGGATCCTCGATCGATTCGGATCAAGCTGGGGCTGCCATGGTCGCCGTTGTGTGGGAGGGAAAGCGCCGCGTCGATGTTGGCCAGACCTGGGCCCCCAGAGGGGCCCAACGCCCTCGTGCTCCCCGCCTTCCCACCTCGGGGAACCACGCGGACGTCGAGAACGGATCCCCGCGCGCATGTGCAAATGGCTGGCTCTCCAAAGCTCGGGGGCGCGCCAAACATGGAGTAGCGATCCATGGTCAGCACCTCGACGCACATGGCGGCCCAAGCGACCTCGCCGACCCCCTCCACCAGCCGGGCTCTCCCCGACCCGTCTCGGACCGCCACGCGCGGCAGGCGCCGCTGCGTGCGTGAGCCCCTGCCGCCCGCGGGCTTCCCGCCTCTCAGGGGGGAACGGGAAGGGATGAGAGGGGGAGGGGACGCAAGATCCAGAGGCACGGTGTGGATGAGGGGGAAGAAGAGGAAGCGATGCTGCCCGCGCGAAGGCAAAGGGATGAGGAGGGGGAGGAGGCGAAAAAGCTCCGGAGGGACGCTGGGAAGGGATGGGACGGGGGAGGGGGCGAAAAAGCTCCGGAGGGGCGGTGCATGGAGAGGGGGAAAAAGAGGGGAGGATGCTACACCCGTGCCTCGGGCAGGAACCCTCCTCCGTGCTCCTCCTCTCGGGCGCTGGAGCCGTCGCGCTGCCGTGTGCCTCCGCTTCCTCCTGCTCCTCCTCTTCGCTGGGGCCGGTGGGCTGCCGCGCCGTGGAGGGGCGCCGCGCACGGGCTGTGCAGCGAACTCTCGTGAGCAGACCGTGCTCCTCCTCGCAAACCTCCTCCTCCTCCTCCTCCTCCTTCGCCTCCTCCTCCTCCTCCTCCTCCCCCCCCTCCTCCTCCTCCTCCTCCTCTTCCTCCTCCTCTACTTCCCTGTAATCCTCGCGGCCCCACAGCACCGTGAGCGTACAGCAGCCCCCCCTCACCTCCTTCTCCACCCCTTGTGTACCTCCTACATGACTTATCCCTGTCGCGCCCCCGGACGTATCGGTGAGGCGGACTGGGCGTTTCGCCCGAGTCTGCCTCGCAATTCTTAGTCCTGACGCTTGAAGTTACCACAGTGCCACGGATGGGAGGCGGGTCGTGTTCAACATGTGGTTCGCGCGTTGGCGCCGAGCACATTCGCCTTCAAGGTTTTGCAACAGCTTCAAGGATAGAGGACAATTGGCTCTCATAGTGCCCACAACGAGCGCCACTCGTCTTACACAAATACATCAGGTTCAAGGACGGCGTGCGCTTCCTTTTCAAAATGCGGCTCTCGCCTTAGCACCGCGCACATTCGTCTTAACATTCTGCGGCATGTACAATGAATGATGTTCTGGCACGACTTAGGACTGCCAAGACGCATTCGGTCACGTTGATTCGCGGCGTTGAAGTCTTAGGAGTCTATCTGGCACCATCTAGGATTGATAAGACGCAATAATCACGTTGATCCGCGGCGTCAACACCACATGAATTGTATTTTAGCACGGTTCAGGATTATCAAACCGTTGTCTTCTAGGGGGCCACTCCCCGCATTGGATATAACTTGTTATAGAGACCTATGAAGCGGGAACTTGGAGGGTACATTGCAACCTCGTTGATGCGTCTTGGAATAACACACTGGTCGTCGGCCAACCCCCTCCTCCCTTTTCCTTCTACTCCTCCTCCTCTTCCTCCTCCTCCTACCCCTGCTTGTTTTCCTCTTTCTCCATCCCTCTCCTCCCCGCGCCCTCGATCGGTACTCCGATGGACCTCTCGGGAGCTTACTGAAGTGACGACATTGGCGGAGTAGGCAGCACACAAAAGAGAGCGATCCCCGTGTTGACACCGCACTTCACGGCGATTCCCGATACCTCACGAACGCGGCTACGTACACTGGAGCCGTTAGCATCACACTTGGAGGGCGAAGTCTCGTTTGGCTCCCTGTAGCACCGCACTCAGCTGGATCTTCCAGTCGTGCAGTTCCTCTCGTTTGGATCTTGCTGGATCCTCGTAACGCCGTGCCCCGCTGGATCTCACGCTAGCTGACGACGGGGAGGGTGAAGCCTCATGCAATGTCATTCGGATCCCCGCAGCGCCGCACTCTGCCGGGCCCCAACAGATCCTGGATATTGCGGCAGCTGTGCAGTTCGCAGCACCTGCGAAGGGCAATGTGTCGTGGCGGTCTGGGGAGAAAGCGCTCTCCGCTGACCTCCATTGAAGCCCGTGAAAGTGGTCACAGGTGCGCACTTGGGAGCACCCACGGGGCCTAGGGAGGGCAGGGTCTGGGTAAAGCCGCACTGCACTGGACCCCCCACAGGCCCACGACGGTGGTGACGGTTCCGCGTTCGGCAGCGCCCAGAGGCGGCGAGGGAGGGGAGGCGAGGGACGCGGAAGCGAGAAGGCGAGGCAGGAGGCGGGCAGGCAAGAGAAGGGTGGAGGCTCCGGATGGAGGATGCGGGACGAGGACGGGGTCGGGGACCCGTGGCGCTGCACCCGCAGCGAGGACCCGAGCGGAGGAGGCCCGGGGACAGAAACGCTCGCGGGCCACCCCCCCCCCTAGCAGAAGCCGAGCGCCGCGCAAGCGGAGGGTAGAGGGCGCTGGCTCCGCAGCGCCCCCGCAGGGCAGAGAAGCTTGCGGGACTACTCCGGGGCAGCAGCGGAGCCGTGCGCCCACCACCCGCAGGGAAACGCGCGGCGCCCACGCGACGGCGAGGAGCCCAGCAGGCTCGGCAGCGCGCGGGGGAGCACCCTGCCGGAGGGTGCGCCGGGCGCGGCGCCTTCTGCGGCTGCGAGGCGCGGGCACCGCGAGGCGACTGCCTCGGCTAATTAGCTTTGGCAAGGCAGCCCCGCGTACCGCAGGAGGACCTGCCGGCGTGCGCGACCCACCGATGGACTAGGACGCCATTGTGAGGGCTGCCTGGCGCAGAGGCCGCAGGAGGTGCCTGGCCAGGCCACCGACACGAGGGTGTCCGAGGGTCCCAGAGCGGAGGGGCCCGCGGGGGGAAGGGACATGGAGCGCAGGCCGGGCAAATGCAAGGCCGCCAAGGTCCGCTCACGCACCGCCTACGCCTCGTCCTCCTCCTCCTTCTCCTCCTGACCGTCACCGCCCCTGCTCCCTACCATCTCCTCCTCCTCCTCCAGCTGCGCTCTCGTCGTCCTGTCGTCATCCTCCTCCCCCCTCCCCAGACCTCCGACGCCGCGCTGCTCTAACACGTCGGCACGACCCCTTGTCGGGAATCCGTTTCTCGTCGCGGACTTTCTCTTGAGCGCCTGGGAGCTGAGAAACGGTCCCCCGAGACCGCAAGCGCGTAAACACGGCCGCCGACTCTCTTCACGGCGCCGGAGGTGTGGGCCCCCTCTGCCAGCCTAACCTCAGAATCGATCCCGGACCTGTCCAGGGAACCCAGCCGTGGCCACGAGGGCGATCCAGGAGGTACCGAGAATGTAACCACGTCAACATCCGAGACCTCTCTCACTCTCCCTCCCCCCTCCCCTACTTCCCCCCCCCTAGAGCACCGAACAATCGGCACCACCACCACCA